CTTGAACTAAAAAAATGTTATATTTAAATAATTTGTATAAATATCTTCTCTTAACATGATTTCGTTAATTCTCACCAAAAATTGGGTATTCAAGAAAGCTGAAATAAAGCCAGAACAAGTATCTGTTGATATCTAATTATTGATTATCATTTGAGTCTCTAAAAAATTTAATTAATTAGTCTTCAGTTCGTTACAACTTGTTGATAAGAGTTATCAACTAAGCGTAAGTGATAAACTAAATAAAACATAAAATGATTGTATGATGTAATTAAAAATTCCATAAAGAAGTCTAATGTTGCTGATAATTTTCTTTCTACCCATCATTTTTTACCAATGAAATGATTTGGATATCAAATCATTGTGAATTATTCTATCAGAGTAGTATTGCCCCAAATTTACCTAGAAATAGATAAAAATGTTTCTTAGAGGAAAGAAAACTATTTATAAAACATAAATTTTTTTTTTAATTCTATAATGTATTTATTAAATTTCATAGTTTTGCTTGAAATTTTTTTTGGAAGCTAATAATAGGTTTAAAACAGAAATATACAAAAAATCTATATAGTCCTCAAATTAAGTTTATATTGGAAAAGTTAAATCTTAGTTTAATATTAAAATCATAGTTATTATTTAAACATAAATTATAAAATGCTCTTTATTAATCAGAATCAAATTTATAACATAAAATAAGAATTTAATATGTTGTATTTTTTAATTTTAATCGAATTAAGTTAAGTTTGTGAATAATAAAATTGAGAAAATAGTGGGCTATCTGGGCAATTTTGATGTTATTATTTTAGATATACTTATTATTGATTTTATTGAATTCATTTTAATTTCTTGCCAGTTATCATCTCAAGATATTTTAATAATTCTAAAAATAAAGTAATTATGCCGATATATAAAATGAGTGTCCCCTAGAATGTAATCATCTTTTTTTAAAGAATGTCTCTTAGTAAAATGCAAATATAAAAATACCTTATTATTTCCAACAATCAATTAAGTATCAATAATGATGTAGAACGACTGAATAGATGATTTAAATTATCCTACTTGGAAAAAGTAGAGTGACAACAAGTAGTAAAAATAAGCATATAATAAAAGACCATAGAAGCCCAGTATAATCTGTGAAATCCTATTTAGTAAAGCAGGCGTATGTTAAACCAAAGGTCATGAGTACTGTCATAGATAATGCCATAAAAATTAGATGGACTAATAATAAATAAAATCAAATACCTCCATTCTCATATTCCTTAGCAATTGAGCAGCAAATAGCTGAGACTACATATCCCTCACATATAGTGAATAGTGATAGTAAAATATATTTATTTGGTGCTCTTCTTGGGTTAGCTGGATAACAAAATAAGGAGCACATTATTACAATTGCAGTTACAGCAGCTAATACTTAAAGCTAAACTTAAGGCCGTAAATAAAAATTAGATGCTTATGATAGAATACACCTATAATATATAAATTTAAAAAATTTTTTAGATGAATTCTAATCTGCTCGTTAAAGTTATGTCTATTAATAATTCCCTATTTGCTTACAAATCATCATTCTTTAAAAGAAGCTATTCTTCTTCATCTCCTAATTACATTGAATATAAATTTAATATATAAGCAGAAGTAAGTAACCAAAATTCTTCAATATACATATATGATATTTGTCTTGAATTTTTCAAATGATCCTAATTTTGGAAGAATTTGAATATATATTTAGAATTATGTCTTCACGTGTTTAAATCTCATCTCTGCTAGTAATTTAAATTTTGAGGGACTTTAAATAGGTATATTACTATATAATTGGAGGAAATTTTATTTAAAGTATTTAAGCAGCTTTATTTGCTTATTTAAGTATATTTTTTTCTTTCTAATCATTAGAAGCAACCCATTTTTTATCAAAATTAAATAATGAATTTTAAGAAGTAAAAATATTTTGACTTTTTTCAGAAAATTTTACAACATGATGATTTATTAAATTAGACCATTTATTTTAAAGATATTAATTAAAAATCAAAAACATAACTGCTTCTAAAATTTTAAGTAGGATACTGCAATTTTTGGATTTTGAGATTCAATAAATAATTTATAGTTTATAAAATTATAAAGAAATGTTTATACTCTCTTTATTATTTGTAAATTATGAATTAGAAATTTATTAACAAGTTTAATAATAATACTTGCTGAATAATTATTTTTTTTTAGATAATAAATTTAGGTTGCCATAGGTAATGAAATAAAATATCTTGTATGTTGGTTAGAGTGAATATACTATTCATATTAAAAAGAAATGTAAAACTTTAATAATTTAATTTTGAATTTCCAAACTGAATTCACAAATTACATCAATCAGTATCTAGATGATTTTCTTCAAATCTGATTTTGTTGTTGTTAGTATGATTAAATTTTTTTAAGAAAATCCTAAAAAAAAATACCATAATTAATTGTATTAAAAATAGAGGTTAGAAATTAAAAGACACTGCTTGGGTTAGTTGTTAAATGAAAATAAAAATTCGCAAATTTATAATTATCTTAATTTAATTTAATTGATCGTAGTTATGACCCTAGCGTTAATCAATATTAAGAAGTGAATCTCAAACTGTTAAGATAAAACATGAATAAACTTAAAATCCAATTCCTGAATCCATATAGTACCCACTCTATTTTGTACAGAGACTCAATAATGAAAAAAGCTTATTAGTAGTAATTTTATCTGATATTACTTCAAACTTCCTTCACAAATAAATATTTTAAAAGTATGTATTAATAATAACCTCATTATTTAATAAATAAATTGCTTTTAATAATGTACTAAATCAAAAAAAAAGCAAATATAATTTTTAAATATAAAATATTTTTTGCACTCGCCATTTTCAAGTTTTTTGTAGTTGCTGCTGAATAAATCAATCTTTTCAATAATAATTAATGATTTCTTCACATGGATATTATATCCATTGCAATCTGAAAACTATTTGCTTGAATCTAAATGTGACCTAAAAGCGAAGATTCTATTGTGTATCAAGTTTCATACTTTAAAATTATATGATTCTTAAGGTAAGGCTTAAAATCTACAATAATTTTTTATCATATTATATTCTAAATCTTACTCTTATAGAAGTAGAAGTTCTAAATAGATTGATGAAGTAAAATTTATTAGATGAAACAAGCAAAGGTTAAGGTCAAATTTTTTTCATTTAATTTTTAAATTATAAATTTGCTACTAATTTTAAAGTATTGATTAATATTGAATTATTAAAATTAGTTAACAATTATTTTTGAGATGGAGTTTATATATTATTCTTGATATAATTCATTCATAAACAGTCAACTATCTTGATACTTCCATATTTTCGACAACTATAATATTCCATTTACTAAGCTTCATAATTTTATCCAATAAGCGATATTGAATCTTTCCATAACTGTCTTTAACCATGATCTAGTCACCAGAAAGTTGTTCATTTATTCCCCATTATCAGATTATCCACCTTGATTTCTTGATNATTATTTTTTTTTAGATAATAAATTTAGGTTGCCATAGGTAATGAAATAAAATATCTTGTATGTTGGTTAGAGTGAATATACTATTCATATTAAAAAGAAATGTAAAACTTTAATAATTTAATTTTGAATTTCCAAACTGAATTCACAAATTACATCAATCAGTATCTAGATGATTTTCTTCAAATCTGATTTTGTTGTTGTTAGTATGATTAAATTTTTTTAAGAAAATCCTAAAAAAAAATACCATAATTAATTGTATTAAAAATAGAGGTTAGAAATTAAAAGACACTGCTTGGGTTAGTTGTTAAATGAAAATAAAAATTCGCAAATTTATAATTATCTTAATTTAATTTAATTGATCGTAGTTATGACCCTAGCGTTAATCAATATTAAGAAGTGAATCTCAAACTGTTAAGATAAAACATGAATAAACTTAAAATCCAATTCCTGAATCCATATAGTACCCACTCTATTTTGTACAGAGACTCAATAATGAAAAAAGCTTATTAGTAGTAATTTTATCTGATATTACTTCAAACTTCCTTCACAAATAAATATTTTAAAAGTATGTATTAATAATAACCTCATTATTTAATAAATAAATTGCTTTTAATAATGTACTAAATCAAAAAAAAAGCAAATATAATTTTTAAATATAAAATATTTTTTGCACTCGCCATTTTCAAGTTTTTTGTAGTTGCTGCTGAATAAATCAATCTTTTCAATAATAATTAATGATTTCTTCACATGGATATTATATCCATTGCAATCTGAAAACTATTTGCTTGAATCTAAATGTGACCTAAAAGCGAAGATTCTATTGTGTATCAAGTTTCATACTTTAAAATTATATGATTCTTAAGGTAAGGCTTAAAATCTACAATAATTTTTTATCATATTATATTCTAAATCTTACTCTTATAGAAGTAGAAGTTCTAAATAGATTGATGAAGTAAAATTTATTAGATGAAACAAGCAAAGGTTAAGGTCAAATTTTTTTCATTTAATTTTTAAATTATAAATTTGCTACTAATTTTAAAGTATTGATTAATATTGAATTATTAAAATTAGTTAACAATTATTTTTGAGATGGAGTTTATATATTATTCTTGATATAATTCATTCATAAACAGTCAACTATCTTGATACTTCCATATTTTCGACAACTATAATATTCCATTTACTAAGCTTCATAATTTTATCCAATAAGCGATATTGAATCTTTCCATAACTGTCTTTAACCATGATCTAGTCACCAGAAAGTTGTTCATTTATTCCCCATTATCAGATTATCCACCTTGATTTCTTGATTTATGTAATTGTCATCAGCCTCTTAAAATATATCATAACTTTGTTCTTGTATGTTCTTATAAAGTCATTCGGCTAATTTTATCTTTTAATATCTATTGTTCAGCAAGTTTATCGTTGTTTTTAAATTTAAATTATTTCCTCCCAGATTTTTTGTGTAAAATCCATCTTCTACAATTCTTACAATAATTAAACTTTTATCCTTCTTGATAACAAAAATTTCTTTTTCAGGGCTTCATTAAGTCAAGTTTTTGTTCTCCCCATTTATTACTATAATCTTTTTTCTGATGGTTTTTAATCTTTTGAGTTTTTCAAATTAACCAATTTATTTAATATTATGCTAATTCCTTTTATCAATTGATTCAACAACTTAACCTTTCATCAAGTTAATGTTTTATATGGTTGATAAAAACCTTAGAAAGAACATAAATGAATAATTCAAAAGGCTGTTATTGTATCAACAAATTTCTAGTCGTTACGCGATGATGGATTTGTAATTTTAAACTTTCATTAGGACATCCAAAAATCATAGGTTTGCTATATTTATATATATACACCTAAAAATGAAGAAAAATTACAAATTATTTGGAGAGTTTGGCATAAATAAATGAATTGAATTAAATAAATAAAATCTAAATAATACTCATAGGAATTAAATAACAATGAGTATCTAATAGATAATGATAACGAAAAGATAGTTGCATAATTTAGAAAACAGCATCTAAACAAAAAAAACAGAATCATTATCAATAAAGAAGAATTGTACTAATACATTCAATTATTCATGAAGTTCATTCCATATATAAAACTAAATTACTATTATTATAATTTAACTCATTAAAATTAAAATCTAGAAAGATTAAATGAAAACTTGCTCAAATTTATGCACTATTTTTATATTTCAAATCAATATATAATAATTCAGGTATATGAAAATTTATGTACAATACCATTGGAAAAAAAACTAACACCCAAATAATTTCTTAGAATTCATAAGTCTTCCGAAAAATTTGATTACTAAAAAATAGTAAAAAATAATTAATAACTAGAATTTATATATTAAAGAACCCTAAATGATAGCCTCTCTTTTAAGATATTAATTTGATTTTGACTCTGAAATTTTTGAATGTTAATCCTTTATTAATGTTTAATCATTCTAGCCACAAGAAATAATGGTTGAGGTTCTCTACGTTTTTCAGAACATTTAACTACTAAGAATCATAATTTCCTTTTTAAATTCTAAATTGCCAAATGAAGATTTGAATGCTATACTTTAATTTCATTATAGAGCTTTTATTTTATATTACAATTTTTCTTTTTATTTTCCAAATATGTCATCCTTTCAGGCTCTTTGCTATCCCTTTAATTGAAAATGCAATTTTGTAAAGAATCTAATTTAGCATAACTTTTGCGAAACTAAAAAATAACTTTTATTATTAAATATAATTAAAAATAATAATTTTTATAATATTTTATAAACCTTTTTTAATAAGTTGATAATAATTATAATTAAATTATGCATTTTATCAATGGCATATAAAATGTTAATAATAAAAATATGGA